TTTAATCCACATTTAATGTTCCATTTTTTTAACCCCTCCTTTTACATTTGCTAACTTTTGCCCAGGTGAGTCCTCGACTTTTTTTAAAAAAAACCGGTCCGTTTAGTTTAACATCACATCAATTGGGACCGGGTTTGGTTTTGGGTTTTTTTTTCCACGCGCTTAACGACCGTCGCGGCCTTCCCCGTGGCTCAAAATTCCCACGCTTCGAAACCGACTCGCGTTTGTGACGGTCGCAGCGCCCCGAGGAGCAAAGTCCTCTCCAGATAGAGAAAAGCCAACGGGGCGGGATGGTGGCGGCGGGAAGCTGGACTCACTTAACAACCGGCGGGCTAAGTCACACAACGGCGGCGATCCGTTTAACAACGGGGCCAAAACTCACTCGAACCGACGTTTCCTTTAGCGAAAGGAATTTGTGGGGGGGGGGGTCTCGATGGTGGGTTGTTCAGGCGAGGACTCTTTTGAGAGCCGGGCGCTGGGAGAGGCCAGCCCCTCCCTCTCCGCACAAACAACTGAAACACACACACACACACACACACACACACACACACACACACACGCTGCTCTTACTGTGCACACACGTGATGTGTTCCTCCCGCAGCAGACCGGGCTGAGCCACGTTCTCGGCCGGCCTCTCTTCGATCTCTTCGGGAGCCGCCTCGACCGGACGGCCCTCGCCTTCCGCCCGGACGGCCAAAGGATCCGCCGGCCGCTCGCTCTCCCGGCTCCCTTGGAAAAGTTCCTCGGCCACGTGGCCTCCGATGCTACAGACGTTGCTGATGAGGATTGTGGCGTCCGGCAAGCCGGAAAAGGAGCAGAGGTCGCCGTCCACCGGAGGGAGACAGGCAAAGCCGTTGGGAAGGGCATCCAGAGCGTCTGCAGGACAGAGGCGGGGGAGAGAAGTTTGGGGAGTGTGTGTGTGTGTGTGTGCTTCCAGCCGGACGTTTCCCCAGCCGGAATGGCCGTCGTCAGGAAGTGAGGGGAGCCGAATGTCAACCTCATCACAATAGTTCTACGGTCTTTTTTAGAGTTGCCAACAGAAAGGGAGGAGGGGGAGCAGCGCGGCGGCTGGGAAACCGAAAGCGCATTCCATAACTAGTTTTTCCAACGATAGCAACTAGGTGACTGACATTTCTGCCATGCAAAATTCTAACTGGAGACCATGATCGATGATTCTGGGCAATGGACGTGTCTCATTGGAGAATATGAATGATGATACACCCAGGGGAGTGGGGGGAAAGCCAGGGTCAAAGGTGACAATGAATCATGCGTCACAGAGTCTGGCTACACTCAGGCAGTGCCGACATGTTAACTCCCAATAAATCCTTTCGAAGTTTTGGAAGTTTCTGTTCTGACCGAGGCTTCGTCAATCGTAATGAATTGCCAACTTGCTTTCAAAGCAAAACCTACTTTATTACAACGCTGGGAACTGCTTTCATTCCCAGCTGGAGCTAATCTTAAACAGTTCCCTCAAGATAAGCACCCACCCTTCAGTGCTGTGGAAAGCTGCCCAAAACAGAAGCATGCAATGAACTATAATAGAAACCAACCGAAGTACAAGAAAAAAACCAACCAGCGTACACAGAACTTCAAGGAGGACTTGGAACCGATCGAACGACCTTGCTTCCTGCAAAGAGTTCATCATTGAGGGCTGACTTTTATCCCTCATGGGAGGGGCAATCACCTTCCAGCCTTACTCCTGAGTCGACCCTTTTGTTTCAGCTGCTCTGGCCTTCTAGCAGCTCTGCACATGCGCACACTGGGAACAGGCTCCCCTGGCTCCTCTTCCTCGCTGCGGCCAGACTCCAGAGGCTCCGGAGGCAGCACCCCACTCCCAGATGGTCCTGGCCCCATCCCTGCATCGGATGCAGGACCCTCATCCGAGTCCTCTCCGGACTCCCTGACTGGTCCCTTCTTCCCTACTGTCTGATTCCGCTGCCGGCTAACGATGAGAGTTTGGCTCGAGACTCATGATTTAATTTGGTGGGGGGGGGGGGGGGGCTTTGCAGGAAACAATTTATTCGTTCATTGCCGCAGCCTGTGCATCTCAGAGACCCCGTGCTGAGCCCTTCCTTGTCAGCACTGCGCTTGGAATATAGTCGCTTGGCAGCTCTCCAGGCTAGATAAGGTCTGTGCTCCTCACCACACCCTGGAAAGACTGTTTGCCAGGCCTTTTGGCTGAACGCGAATGCCAGGAATTCACCTTTGTTTAAGAAAAGGGGGTTTTGCCGGGACAAAAAGCTTTAGGTCAGAACAAGCCCGGGGAGGCGGGGGGGAGAAGGAGGGATGGACTAGAAGACCTCCAGGGTCCTTTCCAACTCTCCATTCTGGCTGGTCTTGGGCGAAGGTTCCCCTGAAGCCTCCCTCCTCCCGTTTGTTGTTCCGATCGCCGTGGGGGGGGGGGGTTGTTTTGCGCGTGCTTTTGACAATCGGTTGAAGGCAAAAGGAGAGAAGGGGAACGTCAAGAGGACGTTAGGGAGGGTCACCGAGGCGACGAACGTGAGTTTGGGCAAAGCGTGGGAAGAGAGCGGAGGGCTGGAGGACCTAGAGTGCTGTGGGCTCCATGAGAGTCGTTGGGCTCCCATGATAAACTAACACCATGATAAACTGGTGTTAAATCAGGGGTCCCGTTGACTGGCGAAGGACCCGTTTCCTCGGTCACGCCCACGGCTGTTTTTGCACTGGCTCGGCCAACAATCTTGGTAGCTGCCAAACCGAATGGATGTCCCACGTATAGCCCAACGCAACGCTCTCGGCTAGGGCAGGGTTCTCCAACCGTGGCAACTTTCAAGACCTGCAGACTTCGACGCCCAGCTGGCTGGGGAATTCTGGGAGTTGAAGTCCACAGGTCTTAAAGTTGCCATTGGTGCTAGAGAGAAGTTGAACCTATTGTGGTTCGCCGGCAGCAGGTGCGGACTCTGAGGAGGGGCCAGGACCATCAGGGAGTGGACTGCTGCCTTCAGAGATTGTTGGGGGCTGGCAGCAGCGATGAGGAGTTTCCCGAGGAGCCTGTGCCAAGGGCGCGCAGGATCGCTCGTAGGAAAAAGCAGCTGCAGCAGCACAGGCGACTCGGGGAGGAAGGCTGCAAGGTAATGGCCCCTCCTCCAAGGAGATAAAAGCCAGCTGTGAAGCGGACATTCTTTGCAGGAAGCAAAGACGTTTTGAAACTCAGCCTCGTGGACATTATAGTATCTTAAGTTGCTATTTGAAGACTCTTGCGTTGTGAAATATTTCTTATCTGTTATGCTTGGCAGCCTCGCGCAGTTCTGGCGAGGCTCGTGCTTATCAAACTTAATTAGTTTGCAGCAGCCTTTTAACCGGGGATTCGTTAAGAATCATTAAAAGGTTTCTGTCCCCTTCGGTTCGCGTTGGTTTTATTGGACAAGGGTTTGGGTCAGAACAGTTCCTCAGCTCCAGCACGACTCCGAAAGACTAATTTTTGGTCCCGATCACTGACCCAGATTGGGTGCCAGAGATGGAGGCCTCCTTCCTGAACCGTTCTCCAAACCACCGAACGAGACCCCGAGAGACAATACTTATAACCACCACACATCAAGTCCCAACAGCCTGTGATACCACTCCACAGCACGACGGAGTGACTATACCCAAATCGCTCGGCCTTTACCCTCCCCGTCCCCGAGTCTCGGCCTGAGAGGGGCTCCCAGAATTCCCTAGCCAGCAAAAATTCAGCCCGGATCCTCCAGAATTCAGCCTGGAAAGGATAAGGACGCATCGGGAGCCGGAGTTTCTTTATTGCATTTTTTTTAAAAAATTGATTGGGTAGATTTCTTAATAGCGGGAATGCGATTGAAGGAAAACACCTTGAGTTCAGAAAAATAAAATAAACAAGCCATGGCAAGCTAAGTTAATCAACAGGTTAAATATGGGCTACATGGTATTATGGTCCGCCGGCGGCCTGTGGAGATGACAGCAGAGTCGGACAGTGGGGAGGAACATGGGCCGTTCCTGGAGTCCGGGGGGGGGAGGACTCGGACGAGGAAATCTGCGTCCGATACAGAGATGGGGCCGGGGCCATCAGGGAGTTATGTGCCGACTTGAGAGCCTCTAGAATCTGATAGCAGCGAGGAAAAGGAACAGCGGGAGCCTGTTCCCAGTGCGTACAAGCAGAGCTGCCAGAAGGCAAGAACGGTTAAGGCAAAAGGGGCGATTGGGGAGTGAGGCTTGGAGGTGATTGGCCCCTCCCGAGGAGAAGCAAAGGGACAGGGGTCTTTGCAGGAAGCAACCTTTGTTTCTTTGTGGTCAGTTTTAAAATCTGAAGCTCCGTTTGGCCTCGTACGGCTAATGGCACCATTTCAAGGGAGATTACAGGTGGGTGCTGATCAGCCTTATCCCGAAGGGCGGTGGCAGAACTCCTGTTGGACTGTTTGGGTCTCATTACGGGCTGGGAATGACTATAATTCACAGCGGTTGAAATAATAAAAAGAGGGTTTTTTGGGGGGACTAAGCGGGTGATTGTTATCGCCTCAGGAAGCCTGACCGTTAAACGGGAAAACGATATGCTGGCTAGGGAATTCTGGGAGTTGAAGTCCACCCCCTCTTGGAAGTCATTTGAAAAATACTGCTTTACCTTTCCGGGGGGCGTTATGGATTTATCTTCTAATTTATCTCGTTCGGATCAATAAACAGCCGGGCCCAGAAGAACCATTAATAAATGCTGCGATTTGAAAAGACAACCTTCCGCTGATCCTTCGTTCTAGACCGGATCTGGGTTCTAGAGCAGGAAAACACACACACACACGCACGCATGCACACACAGATGTCTTTTACCTCCGTCTCCGTCCAGGCCGTGCTGAGGGTCTCCCATCTTCCTAGTCCTGGGGGACATTTGAAGCCCCCGGGGCGAGTATTTGAGGAGGGCGGCCGGTTCTTCCACCCCGACTTCCATCGCGTCGGGCTCCTTCTCGAAGCTCACCCGCTGGAGCTCCATGTACTGAGGATAGGGGGACGCCTCGTCCATCAGGGCCCCCAGCAGGCCGAGGCGGGAGTGCTGAGGCGTGGACGGAGACGGGGGGAAGGCTCCCCCCAAGGCGTAGTCCAGGCAGGGCTCAGAAGGGTGGGGCCGGCCCTTGGCCGCGCTCTGGCAGTCCTCCGCCTCCGCTCCCAAAGGGCAGCTTTTCTTAAAGACGGGCAGGTGGTCGTCATCGGGCTGGGAGCCGGGGGAGAGGGACATGGACAACCGGGCCCGCTTGGCCCCTCCCCGCCGGCGTCCCTTGGCGGCCATCTTGCCCAGCAGCTTCCAGTGGAAAGCCAGGGAGCTCTTGGAGTACAGGAACATGCGGAAGGCGCGCAGCGCTCGTTGTCGCTTACGGCGGAAACAATGTCTGGAGGCCCCCAGGAGCTGCGGGCGCCGCCGGGCCTGGGCGACGTGGAAAGGCCAGGCCCCCTGCCTGCCGCTCCTGCCCAGCTTCCCCCGGGGGGCTTTGTGCCGGGAGAGCGCCGAGGGGGCCTCCGCCACCCCCCAGCTGGAGACGCGGGAGAGATCCCATCGGCCCTCGCGTTGTTCCTCGTCGCTGCTGGAGGACAAGGGGTTGAAACTGGGGAGGGGCTTCTGGGCGCAGGCCAGGCGCCGGCTCCCTTCGAAGCAGCCGCCTCGTTGGCGCTCCGGGTCCCGCCATCCCCGGGAAGGCTGGCAAAATTGGTCTGGGTGTCCTATGGGGTCGGGGAGGCCGGGGGAGGCCCCCCAGTACTTCTTGTCTTGGATGCTTTCCTTCATCGCTCCGATGGGCTGAAGGGAGGAAGAAAAAGAGAGAGAGAGAGAGAGAGAGAGAGAGAGAGAGAGAGAGAGAGAGAGGCACAGCTCTGATCAGGAAGTGACAGGTGAGCTTCAAACCAGAACCCTCCAGAAACTGATTCCACTCCCTGGGGCAGGGGTGGCCAACCTTTTGGACCTCAGGGACCACCAAACCCCTAATTTAAAAACCTGCGGAGACCCTAGGAAAATCCCCCCAAAAATGTCTGCAGGAAAATCCCCTACCCCGTTTTCCTACCCATCTTTATTTGGGATCTCCAGCTCCGTTCTCAGCGGGAGAGAGAGTGGGGGGAGACTTTTGGCTGCGTGCAAGGAAAACAGCAGAAGCCGCAGAAGTTCTTTTCTTTCTCTTCGCCCCAAACTCCGCCAGAAACGAGACTTGTCGTGCCAGCGCAGCCTCTTGGAGCAGGAGGGCCTTGCAGGGTCCCAAAGACTCGTTTCTGTCGGCATTTGGGGGAGAGAAAGAAAAGAACTTCTGCCGCTTTCCTTGCGTGCAGCCAAAAGCACAAGAAGAAAGAAGCGGAAAGAAGCAGCCCGGTGGGCAGGCCAGGCCCGTGGGATGCGTGGGGCAAGTTCCTCCCTCTCTGCCCTAAATTAGCCCAAATTAATTGCTTTGGGGGGTTTCTATGCGGACCACCAAAATTTTCTCGCAGGCCCCGGGGGACCCCAAAACGGTGCCTTGATGATCACAGGAATCCACAACAGAGTTAGGGGACTTCAGCTCGTTCCCTGTTGAGTGCGGCCGTATTTATTAGCTATTTACTTCATCTTGAGGTGGCAAGCATGCATAACCCTCCCTTCTCTTTTGTCCTCCGCCCTCCCCACCCCCCCGTGAGGTGCATGGGGCTGAGAGAGAGGGACTGGCCCAGTCACCCAGTGGGGTTTTCAGGCTTAAGGTGGGATTGGAACTCACTGTCTCCTGGTGGTTGAACTGAAGCCACCCAGACAGATTTCATGCCTAAGGCGGGACTAGAACTCCCCATCTCCTGCTGATTGGCCCAAAGTCACCCAGCTGGCTTTCGTGCCTAA